CCTTACCCCTTAAAATACTCTCCTTTAAAATCCAGTTCGTTTATCTCTTTATATATTTTATATTTATTTTCAATAATATAAATACCATTGCGAACTAGACTAAATTTAATATATTAATAATAAATATATTAGTACGGACAATTTTATTAATACTAGCTATAATTAAATAAACCTCTATACTAACCAAATAATAAATTATTATATTTGCGAAATAAATTTCGATAACTATTTCCCAATGAATTACAATATCTATATAAAGACGATCCTCCCTAATAGGATTATAAACTACCCTAATATCTATAAAAGGAGGATCCGTAATATCCGGCATTACTATAGTTTGAAGGGGCTAATAATAACCTTTAATAATTAGAATTATAATTAAAGGATAGGTTAGGATAGCTACATTAGCGATTATCCCTTCTTTAAAGCGCTATATTTAGATCTTCTTTAATTTTTTACTTTAAAAAATTTACAGCTTCAATAATTTTAGTATTTAGGAACTTACTATCAAATTCCGCCCTCAATATTCGCTTATTAAAGCTATTACTATAATTATCCAAATTATTAATAATTTTAAACTAATAAATTTCCGCGCAACGGTCTAAATAGGTCAATTATTCGTTTAAAGTTATATCGTTGGCCGGTTTAACGATTAAGTCCTTTAAACCGGGATATAAATAATTGTAAATACGAGCCATATAAGTACTTCTATTTTTTTTACCGAACTCCTTAAAATAATAGATTACTTTTATTACAATATTACATAGTAATTTACTAATACGGCAATCTTCGTACGAATATTCTAATACATCGAATTTAACTAATACTTAAGCGCGGAGTATTTTCTAACGTATAAGAATCGTAATATACTAATTATCTAAATTCTATTTTATCGCTATACGGGTCTTCGTATTAAATTGGTTTATATACTATATTTTTACTCCACCTATAAATAATTGGTATAGGTTCTTACGAAGGGAGTTAGCTTTAAAATTATTATTAATAGCGTTATCTTTAATTATTTTAATAAATAAGTAAGGGGAGGTAATATAAATTTTATTTTTTTTTTTAAAAGTAATCGCTTCTAGTATTGCTATTTTTCTTTTTAGTATCGGGCTAAAAGTAGCCGATTATTGAGATTTTCTAGCCGCTAAGTATAGTAGATTGAAGGGAAGTAGCGAAACGATTAACTATAGTCTTAAATTTATTATCGTTAATTTTACTAGTAGTTTTAACTATATATATAATATAGTAGAGTTCTTTATTAGGGTTTAATAATTCTTCAATTACAGTTACACTATTATTAGTACTTTTACTATAGTTAATATCCTAACTACCGCTTCGGTTATTATTACTAATAGTACTACTACTTATATTTAATTAAATAGAATTTATATTATTAATTTATTTAGTTAACTACCGTCGGCGTTAAATAGCTACCTTAAGCCTACGGGGTATATTAAGTAAATTCTATAATACCTTTTATTTTTTAAACGACGGTTAGGAATTAAAAGATAATTCAATTATTTATTAATTTTTAGAAGGTAGTCCAATAATATTAGGGGAGAACGCGGTTTATATAAATAAATAAGGCTTTAGAGATTTTAGTAAGGGTGCGAGTATAATACCGGGAGGACTTCGCAGCTTGTACTAGAAGGTATAAGGTTAAGGGAGGTTAAAGTTTGGGAGTGGGGTTTCGATAGATTTAAGGGGGGTTAACGATTATTAATTTTACTATAACTAATTTAGCGCTTTCTTTTTTTATAGTTTAAGCGGCCTTAAAAGCATTATCGATTAGGTATTTTATCGTTCATTTTATTATAATAGGGAAGGCGCTTAAGGGATTAACTATTTAAGTACTTTCCTAGAAAGCTTTAGGGATACTATTTAGTTTAATAATAATCGTTTATTATTAGTATAGGGCAATTTATAAAGAATTATTAATAAATTTAAATTAATTATATTAATAATTAGTAAGTTAATTAGTATATTTTTACTATTATTCTTCAATTTTAGTAAGGTTAATTATAATAGTACTTACTACCCTAGGTTAGCCTCGGCAGTTCCTAATATAATTAATATACTATTCGATTTATTAAAGGAAATTGAATTTAAATTGGAAGAAATTATAATTATCGCTTTATTTTATATTTATTAAGATAATTCCTATATTAATAGGGAAATCTATTAAAATCCAACGTTTATTAAATATTATACAGTACGATTAATAAAATTAGTTATTATATTAGTTAGTATATTTAGTATAGAAATATCTAATTCGGCCGATAGGGAAGGTTTATTAATTTAAGATTATAGTACTATATTTAGTCCGTATAGATTAATTTATAGTGGTAATTCGCTTATTATAATGTTTTATTCTACCTTTATATCTACTATTTCGGTATTAACGTCTTCGGAGGGAAAACGTTTATTATCTTCGGTATTATTTTCCAATTCTTTAGTATATTAATAATCATTATCGTTAAAAAATAGTTCGATATCTAGTAAAGAAAATAATTTATTTATTGAATCGAAAAAACTTCGGCCTTCGAAATTGAATAATATAAGTAGAGTAAACGTTTTATTAATTTTATTTAATTAATTACTATCTTCAGTACTATTTGTAAATTAGTAGTCGAATAATTAATAAATTAGGTATTAGTATAAGGAAAGTAATTTTTATAGTATAGTTAATCGTAGAGGTTTATTTTTAGCTTACGGGTTTTATTATTATTTAACCGGACGATCGTTACTAATTTTGTATTTGAGGAGTAGTTCGTAGATAATTTTGGGCGTTTAGTCTTTTTAGTTATTATATTAGGGAATAGTTAGCTTATTATTAGTATAACCTTAATTATTAACTAATTCGTTATTAGAGGGGTTAGGTAATTAATTATCGTTTTCTTTTATTATAATATAGAAAAGTATAGCGACCGGTTGCTATTCGCTAAACGGTTAATTATTTTAGTATTTACTATTTTATTTAATTATAGAAGGGGTTATTTAGAGTAGCAGTACGAATTTAATAACTACTTTAAAGAATTATTTAAGAATATAATAATTAAGAGTCCAATTTTCTAGGTAAGAAGTTAGAAGAATTTATTATAATCGATAGGTTAATTGTATTATAAATAATAAAGCGATTAATACATTTTCGTTGGGAGGAAGTAGAATTATAATAATTTAGTTAAATACTTTACGTTTTAATTAGTTTAACCGTCCGACCTATCGGAAATATAGGTTTAGATAAATAAAATTTAATATATAGTATAGATTTCTAATAATCGCCGGGTTAACTAAATTTATTTTAGGTATAGTATTAATAAATAATAATAATTAATTAATTAATTAACGCCGGTACGGGAGCCGGTATATAGCTCGCTACGTAAGGTGTAGTAGCCGGGCGTAGCGCAATTAATGCGATAAATAAATAAATTCTAAGAAATCTAAAGAGTAGTATAGTATAGGATAATAACGGTTCAAATTAATTGTTGATTGGGCACTATTGTGAAATGAACGGCTTATAGGTATGCAAATGATATGATTGTTATTGTCTCTAACTAAGAATTTGAATCTACGTCGAGGCTTTCCCCAGGTTGGGTTTTATACCCTGCCTGGGTCCGCTGGCATGTCTTGCCTGCCGGTTATCGGTCGTCCCGACTAAGGCAGGGTCAACGTCTCACATGGTTGTAGTCTTCCCTTATAAGAGTAAACTATTATACCTTAATTTTAGTAATAAATATTAGTTTTTCCTACTACTTATAGTTTCTTTTTATATTCGTTACTAATAGTCTTTAAAGTGGGGCGTTAAGGTTGTGTTTTTTACCGCGTTTCTTCGCTATAATATATTCGATATTATATTAGTTAGCGAAGTGAGTTGTCCCTTCTTATTAATAGTTATTAGTACGGTATTTAGAAATATTAAATTTGAATTATCTGGCGACGTTATTAATCTCTTTAATAGTAGTGTCGATATTAGTCTATTAGCGAGAAGAAAGTTCGATGAGGGTGGGTTCTATTTTGCTAACCTCTTCCTCCTTCTTTATTTCTTTATCTTAGTCCAACGAAGAATTCGATAACGATAATAAATTCGAAGGGTTTAAGGGGGAGTAATGGCGGCGGTATATAGGGATTATTAAAGTTGGCGCTAGCGCTAAAGATAGCTTTTTATTTTTAATAAGTTTATTAATATTAAGAAATTTGTGGTTATTGTTGCGTGGTTCAGTCTTGATCTATTTAATTAAGGGAGTTGGATTAGGGGTGTGTGTAGGTGTGAGTATAGGGGAGGAGGCGGTTAGATCGATAATTTTAAGTATTTCTATAGTGTACGGTTAGTAATTTCGATTACGGTTAAGACCTTTTAATACTATACTTACTGACTATAATAGTAAATAATAACGGCGACGGCGATATATTCAATTACTTCAATTGTTATTATTAATATATAAAAATGTTATACGATGTTATTCACTAGTAAATTTGGCGGGCGGTAATATAGTAGCTTATAATTTCCTATTGGCCAGGCGGCCCCCACACCGCCGAAATATCATAGCACACAGTCGATTTATCCGGGTCTTTGAATTTTACAAACTTTTGTAGCATTTTAAATATGGAGACCAATTAACTACAAGTAATAGGATCACCCTTGTCGCACACAAAACGAAAACATATTTTTTTTTTCAAACCTCAATACAACAGGCACAAATCTTATAATATTTGCATTTGACAAAAGGATTATATCCCTCTATCCTGATACGCCAAAGGCTAATGTAGAATTATTGGTTTTATTAGCGAAAAGGACACTTTTCGCATCGCCGATCTTTTTTATGGATACCCTGGTTCGCGTTGTTTGGCTGCGCCGGAAAAGTCACGAAATACTGCAAGTCTTCCCCGGTCTTGGCAAAGATAATACATTTGAGCAGTTAAAGGGATACATATGTTCTGCTATAGTTCCCACAGCACTTGCATGCCTACACATAATTAACTTCAACCTCAAATATCGCTCTTTTGCTCCTGCCTCAACCACTACCTCGTCACTTCGTCCCGACGGTGTTGAACACGAGGGGAAATGACCACAAGATAGTGGCGTTCGGATGGCTTTAACCCTCTCTTTGTTACAACTTCCTGTTTTGACGCAAAATTTCCTCCAATCGCATAGCCCGAATGCGGTTTCCTGGGCCAAAGTTCAGCCCCCAAAACACAATAATGGGCAATGGCTACCAGCAAACAAACCAATCCAACAAGCTGCCGGCGGGTTCTTCCAGGGGGTTGCTCGCCAGTCGTTGATGCCTTTGTTGCCGTGTTTAGGGCATGTGAGCCATCATGGTGTCGTCCCATCGACCAAACGAATTAAAGTAACAAACTCCTTCCGTGAGACGGGTCTCGCTATGTGTCATTTGCGCCTGAATTTGTCTTGATGATACCGGTCGGCAAGGGGTTTGGAGAGTCCTCGTACATCTCGTTTTGAGGAAAAAAAGAAAAAAAAAAGAAAAAAAGACAAATGCTCAAGACAAGCTGCTCACCGAAAGCAATTAGCTTCCGCAGCTGAGCTGAATCATTAGACACGTCTCGCCGGCTTGTTCACCGATCATCCATCCTCCCGGCTTCATTTCCATTTCTAGCTACGTGTTAGCAACATTCGTTAACTCACCAGCCATCCCGCTTGCCGCGCTGCCACTTCAAAGTCTCATTGTTATTCGGAGGGAATCCGAATTGGGTCACAATCTCAGAACAAAGAGACCTACATCTCACTAACAGTCGTTCTATGCTAATCTGAAACAGTTGAAGATGGGAGCCCCAGAGGAAAACAAAGGCGGCATGGTTTGTCCCTTTTGCAACTGGGAATCGACAACGACGGACGAATACGCCATCATGCTAGTGTGTTTCTCCTTCCGGGCCGCATTGTTGGGGGTGAACCCGTTAACTGATTGACTTCAACGCTAGCATTTGGAGACAAACCATGCCGAGGGAGAATCTCCCTTTGTCGTCGCTGACAAGCCTGCAGAGGCCAAGGGCGGTCACATTCCTGAAAAAGAAGAAGACCCTCATTATATCGAATGTCCGGCAAAAGACTGCGGGGAAGTCCTGCTCGCAGCCGATCTGGGCTATCACCTAGAACTCCATGCCGCTGAGCAAGGTGGCAGCGCTTCTTCGGAGACTGAGAATGGCAGTCCCATCGTCACCCCTTCCGCTCCATCTCCATCCCCAAAAGTTCAGTCTCCGCCGGCAAGGAGGCCAACAACGTCGACACGCACTCCTCCCTCCCATTCTTCAAGCTCTTCACCTAGACCTAGTACTACTTCTTCTTCTTCGAAAGCCCACCGCGGCGAGACTGAAGGTCACCGCCGTGGGGAGCGCAAGGACGACCATCACAGCGACAGGAATAGAGACAGCAACAAGAGCAAATCGATATGGCGTGCCTTTTTCGGAATCCATCACCCCCGTCACTCCTCTGATGCGCCCTCGATGTCTCCAAAGCCTCCAAAGAAGCGCCATAAAGAGAAGGTATCGGAACGACTGGCTGAACGAGCCTCGGAGGGAACTGCCAAAGTTATGCGAGGAACCCGACTTGGTGTACGTCTTCACTTGTTTAGCGGGAACTGTCAGTGGTGAAGCGTTGAACTAAAGCCGTATATACAGAAGGCGCAGCTCGGCAAGTACGCACACGAGGAGCAGATGCCGGATTGGCTCGTCAAGCACCTGGAGAAGGGACTTTATGTGAAAGCTGAAGGTAGTTCACAAACTGGATAATGGGGGGGATTTTTCATGAGCATCGCTAACTGATAATCAAGGCATTATCCCGGTCTTGGCACAGCTGTTCGAGCAATGTTCTTCCACAAGACATGCCTTTTTGTGCCACCCGAGCACAAATCATGTGTCGAAACTTAAGAGGGAAGGTCAGTTTTGCCCCATAATGAAATTTGAGAAGTTATGTCATCTAATAAACATGTGAAGGCGGTTTCTGTGGTTATCGCAATATCCAAATGTTGTCTTCGTACATCATCGGTACCAAATACCCAGGCTACCAACATTTCTGCCGGGGGATCCCCACGATCTTTAATATCCAAGAAATGATCGAAACTGCATGGGACCACGGGATCAACGCTCAAGGAAGGGTTGAAACAGGCGGCATCCGCGGTACCAGAAAGTACATTGGGACGCCTGAGGCGATGGCCATGCTCCGGTTGTTGCAAATTCCGTACGTAAGCCCTTTATATCCATCCATTCACCTCACCTCTCTCTCTCTCTCTCTCTTTTGCCTCCAGCACAGGAAACTGACACCCACCCCCTTCTTCTAGTTTCGACGTCCAAGCCTTCAAAAACCCCGAGCCCGGCCACTCCGAAAAAGACCTACTAGACATGGTCGAGCGGTACTTCCAAACGGGCATCTCTGTCCCCGAAGATACAGATCTTACCACCCAGCAGATTAAGAAGGTCTGGCAGACCGACTTACCGCCAATATACTTCCAGCACGCGGGCCACTCGATGACGATCATCGGGCTGGAGTACGATAAGTCGGGTGCGCGGAACCTGCTTGTTTTCGACCCCATGTTTCACGATGCGTCGAATGTCACTAAACACGTCGGCCGGGATGTGCATTTCCACCATCACCTACACCCTCTTGCGGCGAATATGGCGCTTAATCCTTACCGACGCGGGAGTAAGTATCTGGGAAGGTTTAGGGAGTTTGAAGTCATTAGGTACGTGTGCTTCTTCAAGTCTGATATGTTTGCATATAGTGGAAGTCCAGAAGCGGCTGGCTAAGATGAAAAATAGGTTGAGGCCGCGTCCGGAGATAAATGCATAGAACGCCATGCACGGACAAGACGGATTCTTATGGACACCTAGGGACATGTACATGGTGTGTTGCGATCATCATTCATATCGCTATCCGTCCTCAACTTGGACATAGCGAACTGAAATTCTCTTGTTTTCTGGTACTGCATTTCAAGCGGCGTGTTATTTCTTCGTTTTTTTTTTCTCTTTGTTTCCAGATCGTTTTGGGTATTATGGCCTTGTGGCCACAGCTTTGTCTTTTCATCACAACGGCGCTGCTTTTCTTTCGTCTTTCAGAAATATTGCTGTCTTAATTTGTTCCTCACTTGAGAGAAGATATTCAAGCGGTCATCTCCTTAGCAAACCACTCCTGCAACTTGGCCAGAGCCTTGGCACGGTGGGAAATCTTGTTCTTTTCCGCCTTGTCCATCTCGGCATATCTACAGAGATTGTAGAATAAGTATTGCATTAGTCAAATAGCTTTTCGAGGGGTGTGGATGAACGAAGGTAGGAACAATTCACGACAGGGAAGGTGAAACTTACGTCTGGCCTTCATACTCGAAGATGGCATCCCAGCCTGTGGGTTTGTCAAGTCAATAAACATGTTGCTTTCTTTCTTTCATTCCATTTTGACGGACAGGTAGGTTATTGGGTAGGCGCAGGCGTAACATACCGAAGTTAGGAGGACCCCTCGGAGGAACGATTTTGCCGTCGGTGATGCCCTGGAAGAGAATGGGCTCGTGGCCGGGACCAGCAGAGTAGCCAAAGGTGCAGACGGCCTTAGCCGACTTGTCCTCGTAAGCGGCTAGGAGGTTGTTGAGGCCTTCATGGCCGAGGGAGTTCATGAACCATTTGCTGTTGTGTGTGAAAGAGAGGTGTGAGTAAAAGTGGTTTGGTGGCAGTACAAGGAGAGGAATGGGTGTGCGGGAAAACACACATATAAGGACCAGGAAGACCCTTCAAAGCGTTAAAGCAGAGGCAGGTATCTTCGACGAGAACGGGGCCTTGGACCTATATGGTTTATATCGTATGTGGCATTAGCAAACATCCTTTCCATGTTTGACATCGCCTATTGCAAGCATATGATAATTTAAGCAATATCATCTTCACCAGAAGAACAGGCACTAGTCAAAGGAGCGGAACTCACCAAATCAGCAGCCCTCCGGCACTTATCCAACGTGACTTCCTCCAAGGTGCCTTGGATCTCGAGCAGATCAAGCGCCTGGTTCTCGACTTGGATGGCGGGCTCGAGGATCGCCTTGACTTCGCCGAGCTTGTTGGCGTTGCCGGTGATGAAGTTGACGATGTGGCGGGCTTGTGAAGGGGCAGACATTTTGACGGTGTTTTCTGACCTGGTGGTAAGGTTAAGTTGTGAGAGTCAAAGAGTGAGACCTGAGGAGGGAGAGTATGGATAAGTACGGCACCTCTTCGGAGTAAGAGTCAGGCCGGTGATCGTTTAGCTCGTTATCGATGTTACACATTGATGGTCGTAAGATACCGTTTTGGAAAAATACGAGGTGCTGGGGTAGCAGGCAAAACGTGAACGAAATCCTCGTTTGTTGCATTTGTATCATTTGGTGTGGGTGAGTCTACAGGTGACGACTAGCAATGGAAACAATGCAAGACAAACAAATAATCACTGGAAACAATAGAAACAATGGAAACCATGGAAAGACTCTATCTCATGAATATGTGTTTTTGTGAGTTTTCGTGAAGTCTTACGTAGATTACGCCGCTTCTACACCTCCTTGTATATACTCCTCCCCATTCTTGCAAAGATCACATCGAATTCGGGTATCAAGACCACTTTTCCCTTTTTCACATTGCCCCCATTGCCATTACTCATCTTTTATACCCCGAAACTCAACATCGGCCCTTATGCAGAGCTGTTGTTCTCCTTCCACTGCTTAAACCAAGCCTCGATCCGATCCACGTTTTCATCCATCTGCTCGGCATCGTTGCTCTGCAACTCGACGACAATCTCCTCGTCGTATGAGTCGCGGGCCTCCTGCAAGAGAACCTCCATGATCTCCGAGTCGAGGTTTTCCTGAAGCTTGAGCTCGGGGTATTTTCTGTGTGCGTGTGTCAGTTTATGCTTACGCATCGATCTGTGGCGAAAGCAAATCAAGTAACAAAGGAAAAGCAAAGGGCAAAGGGGGAAGGGAAGGGAAAGGAAAAGGTGAAAAAAAAAAAAAAAAAAAAAAAAAAAAAAAAAAAAAAAAAAAAAAGACATACCTCTCCGTCAACCGATCATACAACACTGAACTCTCAACTCTCAAAACCACCACCAAATCAATCCAGCTCTTGGGGAACAAGTCGCAAGCGTGCCAGTCTATTATGCAACCGCCCTGCTTGACTTCGTCTTCAATGGCGTCGAGGAGCTTTTGATTTTTTTTGAATTACGGTCGCACAGTCAGCCCCTTATTTCTTCTTGCGCACACGATCAAATAATTTCCCTTTGCCCCAATGGAGAAGAACCGGAGAGCTCACCTTATCCTCATCAACAATCCAACTCTGGTACTCCTCATCCCACCCCTCATGGCACTCCTTGGATTTGACCACGTCGTTGACGGACAGGTGCTTGAGCCCCGTGCGCTCGGCCAGCAGCTCGCAGTGGGAGGTCTTGCCGACGCCGGGAGTGCCGGTGATGATGATATTGGGGAGTGTGCGAGACATTGTGATTTTTGTCTGCTTTGTTTGTCTCTCTGTCTTTTTCTTCTTCTTTTTGGTCAGTCTTTACATCTATTCATTTTCGGTCATTCTGACTATTGTATATACGCACCGGTGCTGAGGTGTGAGTTGCGTGAGATCAAGTTTTATAGATGTGTGTGTATGTGTAGATGTGAGTGTTATGTGAGTTCGAGACCAAGCTAAATGATCTTTCTTACCACTATCTTTTGGTGTAATAACTTGGAAAATATAGTGGGGTCCTTTATAATGAGACTTGGGTTCTAGTCCAGTGTTTCGTTTTCTCGAGCGGCGGATAGTGATGGACAAGTGACGAGGGGCCAGACTCGCGGCATGCAACTGCAAGAATTTTTTTTTTTTTTTCGGGGCCGTTTCGACCATGTGCGAATTAAAAGGTAGTGGCACTGCTCTCTGGTACTGTCAGCCATCCTGCTTTATTGCATATTGCTAAATACGTATATTCCACCACGCACTTCCTCTATCCTCCCGACCACCCTCATCAAAATTAAACATCTCATGATTGTCAAAGAGAGGAGAAGAAGAGGCAGACAGAAAACGGATCACCGGCATTTGACAACTTGCCGGCTGCATAGATAGCAGGTACCGAATATATCTTGCAGCAGCCTATTCACATGATATGCACTTAAGCGGCCCTCTGTCTCCATCCCCTTTATTACACTTTCTCTTAGCACATTGGACTCTCTTGCCTTTTCTCTCCGAGCTTCGTTCAGTGATTCCTTCATGCTTCGTCTTGCAAGCATGAATAACCTAAAATGAAGCTTTTAATGCCTACCATTTGCCGGGAACTCTACAGAAGGAAGCATATGTCTCTCACAAAGTAGTTGGAATGATATGATTTGAAAAGAAAGTAAAACATCGGCCGATGATGAAAAGTTGAAACAAAGTTAAAGAAGTGAAACGAAATGAATTAGAAGAAAAAATCCGTGAAATTGGAAGGTGAATTCTCCGTTGTTCTCTCTCTCCAGCAAAAAGCCCAAAGCAAATCACCCGAATCCTGATTTGCACGCCGTGAGCCTTCCTTCCATTTTTCTCTACTATATCCGGCAAACTGTTGATTCACGGCTCGAACCCACCCAGCCTTTCCATGAACTATCCTGCCCTTCCTGCCTGCCTCTTTGCCTGCCCGCTTGTCTCGCTCCCTGTCATTCCCCTTATCCTTTTTCTTCTACTTCCTCTTTTCTAACCTGGTTCCAAATGCAGATTGCGCCTTGCTCTCTCTTTGTTTTTTTTTTTTTTGTTTTTTTTTTTTTTTTGCAACACACAGCATACTCTACTACAGCAGCAACAATAACAACACTGATGAACAAGAAAAGATTTGATTTTCTGTATCAAACGAGTAATACTCAACCAGTCCCACTCCTGACCCTCATCTTCCTCGTACCGGTAGTAGTCCTCGGTGGCAGCGCAACAGAATCATCAATAGTGGAGTTACTGTTTGTCCTCCAGGGGTTGAGTATGGTAGAAGTCGGGCTCGGAATCAATGATAACGACAGTGACGGACGAGAGCGAGGTGGTGGTAGTGGTAGAGGTAGAGGTGATGATGGTCGCGGGGGTGCAACCTAGGCACTCGCTTCCACAATCTCTTGCCCTTCATCCACCTCTGCCAAGTCGTTCATGCTTTGTGTGTCATAATCTCCGTGCTGGTAGTCGCCCGCCTGAGAGCCGAATTCCATCTTCTCTTGCTGCGCAATTGCTTGTTGAGATACAATCTCAGCAAGACGCTTCAAACGAGGGGTTTGCAGCCCTGTGGTTTCTCGGTCAGTTATGCATTCGCGTTATCCAAAAAATCTGATCAAACTCACAGGATGGTGTATAAGTCTCCAGCGCTGTGATCACTCTGGGCTCGGCTATCTCGTACGGGCCACTGTCGTCCATATCGACAGCCTGCAGTAAGAGGACGTCGCTCTTTTCGCTGACGCGAGACGCCACGGCCTTCATGATCTCGCCGTTAATAGGTTGCTCGTAGTCGGCAACCAGGTACTGGTTGAGCAGCTTCTGGATCTGGTTCGGAGATAGCCTACGAATCAAAGTCAGTATGATTGGTGCACAACTTCTCGAGACAAGGAAATATACTCACATCCAGCAAATGTCTTGGATGATCTCGATATCGTTAAGGGTTGCCTTCTTGAGTTGCAAAAGCTTTGTGGCTTGCTGTTGAATGGTTAGCACCTAATGCATCATGAAACGTTCACTTGACGATACTGACCATGAGATGCTCAAGCTGGAGCGTGCCCTCAGGCATGTCGTGGCTCTTGCACCACTCTTCGATACGAGTGATGTTGTAGTTGATCTGCAGGCCACGCTTCCATGAGAGGAAGTTACGGCGCATCAGCAAATCGTTAAATGCAGTGACACCAACAAGCCGGAGCAGCTCGGTGATAGTCTGCGTGATGATCGAGTCCTCAAGGTAGTAGGCCTTCATAGCGCGGTAGACATTGTTGAGGAGGGACAACAGGTTGTCCATGCTGTAGGCCGGCGCCGTGTTAGACTGCAGCAGCTTGCCAAGGAACCTGTTGTTTTCGTTCGTGACGAAGCCGGGTAGGGACTGCGACTCGATGATGGCCGGAATGATCATCTTGAAAAGCTTCTTCTTGAGAACCTTCATCCAGGTATGGTAGATGTTGAACTCCAAGCTTTCCAAGTCATGCTTGACAATCTCGAGGAGGCGGTCATACTCGTAATTGTCCGTCTTCTGAGCCTCGTACCAATCCTCCGCAAGGAAGACAAACGAGAGCATTTCATGGACGTTGGAAAGCCAGAAGGCACCGGGGTTGATGGCCTCTTCGCCATCGTGCTGCATCACCTCCTGTTGGATGGACTGCATGACGTTGGCCAGGAAGCGTTCTGACTCCTTAACGAAGCCGTTGTTCCACATCTCGGACGTTACTAGGTTGATGAGGTAAGCAGGGAAGAGCACCTCCTTGTCGGAAGGTGGCGGATTGGTGGAAGGGGAGGGGATCTTGAGGTTACGGATGAGGCCCATGGTAACCTCCTCATTGAGAGCATCTTCATCGGCGAGAAGACCTTCAAGTTCAAGCTCGATGCTATCGACACCGGGAACGAAGGTTGAGCCGGAAAGTGTTGTTTGGCGGTTCAGACCAGGGACAGCCATGGAAACGGGCCGTGGGTTGTAGGCCATGCTGTACCGATCCATCTCCCGTGGTTCGGCACCCGCACTACGCCGCTTAGGCTTCTTGGACGATACGAGGTTGATCAACCCAGTAGGAACCTGAGGGGCAATACCATTGCCGTTCAGGATATCACCGTTGATCGGTACTTGCCTCCTTGCTTGCTCGAGAGCATCCTGCAAGTCAGCCAACTGCTGACGGAGCGAGTTCTTCTCAGCCTCTTGCCGTTGACTCTCGATACGAGCAGAGTCGAGCTCTACGCTGGTAGCGCGCAGGGACTCTCTGAGCTCGCGTTCCTCCTCCTGCATCCTCTTCACATTGGCTACAGACTCCTCGAAGCTTGCTTGAAGCTTCTTCATCTCGGCCTCCATCTGCTCCAAGCGAGCGGCGGCAATACCGGCCTGGTTGGCCTCGGCTTGCAGCTCCTTGGCGCGTGCCTCCAACTGGTTGTGACGATTCCTCCAGATCGCCACCTGTCCTTCGTAGTTCTCCACCTGAGTCTTCAACTCCCTGTTCTGCGTCTTCATGGTACCCAGCGACTGTGTCAGTTCCACGACCTTGTTCTCCAGCTTGTATGAAATCTGCTTGAGATCCCGTGCCTCCGCGCGGAGAGCCTTGTAATCCTTA